CCCATTACCATATATTCCGTAACCCCAGAATATGATGCTACCATACGAGATGAACATGACATTCGGCACCAGCGAATCGAATCCTCCCTCTCCCCCCCCCCCCCTCCTGGACGAGCTGAAGGTAAAGGTGACGAGCTCGATCTAATTCTCGTTTCAGATACCAATGTCGCATTCGTCCCAAGCTAAAGATGACGCTAGTCCCTTGTTGTTTTCACAAGAACATGGGAAGCACCTCGCAAGGACGTATAGGAAAATCGTATTCTTCTTTTGCTTTGTTCAAATTGGCTCAAGGCTCTAAGACGCCTTGCCAGGAGGGAATTTAGGCTTTTCTTCGTCCGTGGAGAATTATTCGAATTCTTTTGGAATTTCCTTTTTCTCAAGCCTTTTTTTACGTTAAGAGCTCTAGTCTACTCGTAGAAGGCTTATAGTACCGCTCGAACTCAAATCGTGTTGTTTTTGGGGTATCGTTTTTTTGCTTGCTTCTAAGCAATTTTCGTGCAACTTTGATTCGGCTTGAGATGTTTCGAGGTCTCCTCTGCAGGTCTGGATTCTCTTGAGCTAGCTAACTGGGTAGCTTGGTTCTTTTCTCGATTTACAAGCGCGTCACGGCTTTCCTAAAAGGTGCGTAGTCGTGCTGATATACTCAAAAGTACGTTCTCAATGGTGACGGAGAGTTGCTTTTTATAGGAATTTTGACAATTGGCGGTCATGAGAGCGAATGCTCTATCACTATCATTTTTCGATATATGAATCGAGAGATGTGTTATTTTTTAGTGCTTTTGCGACGGACTGCACGAGGATCCGAACGGGACCTACAGGGATGGAAGACTGCAGAGCAATAAGGTGTTTTTCGCTTACAGATTGCTAGCTAAAAGTAGCTTCCTTGAATTTTCTTTCTATTTCTTTGTTTTCTCTAGTATTTTTTTAAATTTTTAACTTGTCTTCTAGGTTAATGCAACGATGCGATAGTGCGAGAGAACGCAAAACTTTTCCTACAAACGTGCTGGGTATGTTCCACGCAGTGCTCGATACTTAGAATAACACAAAACACTGACTCTATCGGATGGAAGACAAGCAATTTGAGCCAACGAATACGAGGGGCACGCAAACGTTCTCTTCCAAGTCAATGCCGGAATGGTTTCCAGCGGTTGCAACGTCACATCCGGCCACGCGTGCTAAGTGAAGGGCATCACGCTTCGCAGTGCCGCGGAGATTGAATGCATGGTATTCACTTGAGAAAGATGTATAAGAAGAAGGATATTTGCAAGAAAGGCCAGTCCATTTAATCAATGTAGCCCAGCAGAAATCTGTTGCGTAATCATGGTGATCACCTTTCATTGCTTTCAACCATTGTCGTTGTTTCTTATAAATTTTATCCGCCGCTAGTACAACTATCGACAGTTTGAATAAATGACAATGTCTTTCTAGTCTACAAGTATTTAATCTCGTGCAACATGTACGTTTTCCGGCCTCGCCCCCAAGGTCTTTGATAATGATTTCAACAACCTGACTTTCGTTTAACGTACCTATGTATATTATTCATCCTGTCGTGGACGACTACTAGTTTGTCCATGCCGATTCATCCGCCAAGTCGCTTGCATTACCATTGATAAATAATGTATCTGGCTGCGCCTACTTTTATATATAAGTACTAGTACTCAAGCTGACTTGAATAGCAAATGGAAGCAAAGTATTGTTGCATCTGGCTACAAAGAGCTGTTTTCTACATTCTGTCTATTCATTTGCTTTGGCAGAAAAAGAGGAACTACAACGATATTTCTATGTTTACTATCTATAATCATTCAACTTCATTAAGTTGTGATTTAGTGTTGCATAAGCTTGTATTAGGTTAGTTGTAGGAGTAATGTAATTTACTGCGGTATGAAGTGATTTGGTGCAAGGCTTATGAGTCAACTTGATACCCAAAAACGCAGCATTTATAGATGTTTATTTTCAACAATTACCCTAATTTCACGAGTACAAATCATGAGGTTTTCTTTTACAATTGATCAGCTCAAACACGCCACAAGATTTAGCGTCCCAGGAATCCTCTATCACTGCGATTCACGTAGGAAGGTCGTACGGCATAGCGATTGTTTCGCGAGGCACAACAAAGCGGGTGAGCTACTCGCATCAAAAGACGAAAATTCGCTTTGTGTACGGAAATTTTAGGGTACCATTTCGCATGAAATCACATTTGCTGCTATAAAAGTTGTACACAAAAAACACACGGAACGTTACCACGGCTACCCATTCCCGTGTTGAACCGGGGCCAGCTAGTACTACAAAGCAAGTTAATAGCTACCATTTGTTATATCACCATGTAGAAGGCACTGCGAGCTAGCATCAGCTACGCTCCCTAATTACATGTATTGATACAATACTGTAATACTTTGCATTGTTCAAAACAGCATAAAAGTGGTGGGAAATTTTTAGATGAAAGTGAACGCTTATGGATTCTCGCGACAACCACTCGCTGACATTGGTGATCCGGGCGCGGTAGAGTAGGTACAGCGCAATTAGCTTTTACATAGCTTGTAGGAAAATGTTTCAAGTATTGAATTCGAAAGACACTTATTCCAGGATTTGGTCTTATTTTTAGCATTGCTCGAACCCATTTCGGATGGCCTTTCCGGAGATTAATCCTTTAAAATGCGAGTTTCGTGCTGAGATGTGCGTACCTAAACCTTACGTCCTCTTGTCCTGTTAAACTATTTATGAGTGTCTTTTTTGATCTTAGTCGCGAGTTTTATCCTAGTTTCCCCAAACTCGCAAATCACAAAATTTTGACGTGATTTGGCTTTAAGAGTTGTCGTTTGTTGAGCTCATGACGCTTTTATTGTTTCAGGTTAAACATTAAACACTTGGACATCAACATATGACCCTAGCACGTGACATTCAAGTAGACTCTTGATCAAAGCTCTTCGCCTCTTTGACAAAATGAAATTGGGCTAGATGGTAATCATCACTAGTTGATCGATAGGAGCAGACCAACATCTGAAAATGAGTGTCGACAAATTGGGATTGCTGGTTTCAAGGTGTAAACAACTGCCGTATAAGTCTTCTTCGAAATTTATTGAAAGCAACTTCCACACCTCACACAGCGCAGCAAAGTTTGGAAAGTGTAAATTTTAGTACAGAAAAAAATTCAAAGATTTAGTGGTCCTTTTCAATAGTCATTTGTTAACCTTACAGAAAAGGATGTGCGTCAAAGTAGCTCTTCGAAATAGGATGTACACCTACTTGGAGGGCATAAAACGTCAAATCGGATCTCTTCCTCACCTGCGTTGCATTCATGAACGAAGAGTCAAAGGCAGTGTTTTGGCAGATTTTGCATTTCCATCTTTTTGCATATTTTGGGCTTTTTCGAACCATAGACCCCGAATTTGAGCTTTGAAACGGGTGAAAGGACCTTTTCAGGGGCGTTTACCCAACTCTCAAAAAGCAGCTCTGACGAGAATTTCAACAGAAAAGTTGGGAGGGAGACCCTAGCACGAAAACCCTGCCGCCTGCAATTTTTACTCTGGGTAGCATGCACAATGCGGAAGAGCAGTCGTGGGCCCCCCCCCCCCCCCCCAACCGGTACGCAAGTCGTCCGAGCGCGCGCCTATTGGGGTTGCACGCAATGGTTCAAGGGCTATTTTCTCGGCCCAGCGGGTCATCAACCAGCCGGAGTGCACCTGGTGGTCAGTGGGAATACCGGGAACCTTACCAAAGCAGTAACCTCCAGGGCGCGAATCTGCCGGGACACTGCCTTCAAGGGCGTTTAGTGGAGCAAAATACTGCATGAAGTGCTCTGATGATTATCACTGTCCCATTCAAGCACTTAAAAATGATACGATTATTATTTTTCTTGCACATTCATCTTCTTGCTTTAAAAAACGCCCCATCCTCCTCGTCAGGAATGCTTCTTACAAAGAGACATTCTAAATCGGCGTTTTATGCCCGTCGAATTCGTAACCATTTTATCCTAGAAGACCACTTCAACCATCCTTCCCTTGTTAGTGTCCAATTGAATTAGAATAATGCAAAATTGATGTGTTCTTATCCCAAGGCTTCGAATATTCGCTCGATTTCTTCGAAAATAAAAAAAATGCGACTCACGATCTGGCAATTTGCCAGATGACCGCAAAATCTGCCGGTTTGGTTTTCAAGCGCGTAGGTGCATAGCTTTTGTAAACTTGTCCGTACATGCCAAATCTTGCTTACAGAGTGAGAGCCTACGGAATATTATGAACAATCGTAGCAAATAGAAATCACGCATCGACGAGGTATGACCGATTCCTAAAGCAGCAGAAAAGATGTGGAAATGTGTGAAAAATATCAGTTGATAGAGCAAAGCGACTCTACAATTCGGTGCTCGAATGATCGCATGAAGTGTGATACGGGAGAGAAGAAATATCTTAGGGATTTTAAATGCCCGAAAATTGGACTCTAACCAAAAAAAGCTTAACCCCTCTTCACAGAAGTTACCTGTCTCATCATCCATTCATATGTACACTTGGTTGAGATGATGAAACATTCAGTGCAATGCTAGACTGTTCCTACAAAAGTAATCCTATACCACAATCTTGGAAGTGATAATGAATTTTCGCTTCTTTGAGCGCTGGTTTCCGAGAAATACAGAATTGACACTGAAAACGCGAAAAAAGCGACATTATGGTGTTAGGCCTATTTTTCTTTTTTATTTTCTTTCAAGAACTAAAATATGGCACATGCATTCAAAAAGGTTTGTGTTTATACGCGCGGACAAGTTGGAGGTTCATATGTTTTTTGAGACGGGAATCTGATTTTTAGCATTTGAAGTTTTCAGATTTTCTCAAACTTCGCGTGGATCGAAGTTGCGGTCATATCAACGCTGTCTTGTAGAGCTTGCTCTGCTCCATCGACTGTTATGTTTTTCATGTTTCAATACTTTGGTACTTCAGGTCAAGGAACATGCATTAATTGGGCATCAAACATTCAGTCTTGCACGATGCTTTTGCTACAAACATCGACACTCATGGTACATGCGAAACGCGATCTTGTGGACCTACCCAGTTTCCACTGCAAGCGGGGTCAATGTCATCTTTGCCATGATAGAAGTTCCATTTCACATTTTTCTCTTCGGTGATATCTATCCTATAGGTTTCGTTACCCTTCTGCTTCTGAAAATGAAAATGAGACTGATACGTAACTTTCTTACTCATCGAAAACCTCTGCATAATTGATTATCATCATTCCAAAGTAGTCAGCCCGGAAGATGCGAGCACCCATTTCTGAGCCGTTGTCGACCTCTGCCCACTGGTACAGTCCTTGTAATATACTATTACGTTCCGCTGTAGCCACTGCACCTAAATGCGCCGTGCTTCCGACATCCAGAAGATTTTCGACAGTCACCGAAAACGGGCATGCCTGAAAAGGGGCATTATGCATGCAACAGAAATTACTGCCATTGATTAATCGAGAAGGTGTGACAGTTAAACTTTTGGAACGTAAGTAGTATACTTCCTCCAAATACCTTGATGATACCAAATGATTACAATGAAATCATTCAATAAACTTAGTAGAGGCGGATGTTTTGTGCATTTTGTGTACCACAAAGTCAAATGGGCGTTTCTCTTTATGCTCAGCGCAAAAACAGTTTTACTCTTGTACTGTGATCGCTTTGGAGATAATACTTTTCTATAATCAGAGGAAAATTGAGGAAAATGTATGCTATGATCCATGAAAAGGGTTCATTGCAAATTCAAATTCATTTCGGCTATTTTTGAATTTTAAAGTTGCTTGTTTTTAGTAACAGCTACATGATGATTGTCGTAATAATCGGGTGGTGCCAAGACTTTTCATTTTGACTTTTCCGCGCAATATGTCATAACTTTTTCATCCAGATTAGAATACAGGGTAGCATCCGATAGAAAAATTAAAAAATTCTATATTCCCGTTTCCAGAAAACATATTCGATTTCCAACTTAAGCATATACAGTCCACATGACATCAATATAAGCCGTTTGCTGTAAACCTTTCTGGTAGAAACCGATAGAATTAAAATTTCCAAGCTCCGAAAAGCGATGCTGTGTTGTTATTACATAGGTGAATGTAAACTACAAGCCATTAGAATACAAGTGCAGATCTTCAGCTTTCTTGAAGCGCTGCTCAAAAACACTAAATTTTCTAGGATCTTTTATGTTGAGATCGATATTTTTCGATAACTAAAGTTTGTAGAAAGCTGGAGATCTGCGGTTGTTTTCTAAAGGCTTGTAGTATACATTTACTTGTGTGATGATAGCGGCAAGGTCGCTTTTTTTCAAAGCTTGATAATTTTAGTTTCCTGTCTGGCACAGAAACATATACAACAACGGCATATATGAATGTCTTATGTGGAGAGTATATGCGTGAGTGGATGGGAAATCCCATGTTTTCCTTAGACAAAAATTTGAAAATTAATCATTTTTCGAGCATCCAAATCATCTGAGATTCGGCTTTTACCTGATGTGTACAGAAGCTGGTTTCGGACACTTACATGCAGTCTTATAGGGCTTGCTTTACTCTATCGAAAGTACTCTGCATCTCAATTGAAATTGAGAAATAAAGGAGTTGTTGCGATATGAATTTGAAACTGAGAGAAACTTATAGGGAACCTATTATCATGCAGTTTACAATGCATTTGCAAAATAAGAATAAATTTTGGAACAAGTTCTAAAAAGCCTTTCGAACTCACATACTGCAACTGCAGATTACTGTTATAACCCAGTCTGTAGAGTGACTCCCAAATATCAGGCACAGCCAAATCATCGCCAGAGAACGCTTCACACTGCAAAAAATAATGCATTTATCTTGCAGCGAATTGTGAATAAGTTTTTGTTTACCTCGTGCATGAACAAAAAGCCGACCATTGTTAAGGCTTCATCACGAGCGTCAAACTGACTAGTCAGAAGCTGCCATTCCTGCAATGAAATGACTGTTTACGTGCGTAGAGAAGTAATATTGTGTTGATGGTTGTTAGAATTCCGTAGATATCCAAATCCAAGAAGTGTGTCAAAAGTTTCTGATGAAAGAAGATTTTAACGGCATCGTGCAAACCACGATCTCAAGCTTTCCTTCTAAGCATGAAGAATGCAATTCTTGTAAAGCTCATTCACCGTATCTTTCACAATTTTACATTCAACTAAAGCCTGCTTACCTCATCATCCGGGGGTTGGTCAGCTGTAGCGATGGCGAAGGCAGAATATTCATTTCTAGACAAAAGACCATCGCTATCGAAGTCGAACATATCGAACACATTCATCAGTGTCATTCTAAAACCATACATTCGCCTTTTGCTTTTCACTTGAATGGAATTCTCTGGTCAAAGATTATCTTCTTGAAATGAATGTGTCTGAAAGATTTTTCTTGGGAGTTGAGCAAGTGATACATTGCTAAAACACTGCCCTTATGGTAGATCTTTCCGGGTGGAGGACTATATGTCGCCGAAAGTCGGAGGGTCCCGCGCGGACAATGCAACAGATACTCAGCCTGTGCGTCTATTGAAAGTGTATTTGTTGCAGATATCCGGCGGGACCGGCGGGACCTCCCACTTTCGGCGACATATAGTCCCCACCCGAATATTCCTTTCCCGCGGTTTTAGTCACGTTAGTTTTGTGACACTCAAATTACGTTCTGTTGCTTCTCGATATATGCATGCCTCGCATAGAAGATCAACGTTTTAGGAATTTCAAAATTTTCAAATAATTTTTGAAATTTTTAGCTTGCTTGATAGAAGAGATTAAACTTTCAGATTGTGTAGTTTTACAAGTGATGCTCCAGGGAAACCAAACTATTCTTGAAAAATTGAAAGAGAGTGAGGAATGTCTAAAGATTAGGTAAAACTAATGGTTGAAGTGCGCTATCTGATTGTCTTTATATTCAATGTACTCATGTCTTTAGAGCTGGAAAAGTTGTACCACAAAAAACGAGGGTAGTTTCTCTAGCATCTACGAGTTGGTGACAAGCGAAGATATCACCAAAAACACTGTGTAAAAAGATAATGATGAATTCAACAGTGTTTAAATCACAAGAAAGACTAGAAGCGTAGGTTTGGAACCAAATAAGCTAAAAGGTTTAATTTTCAATTTCATGAACATTATCTCAAAATGTATGCTCCAGTATGCATATAATACTCACTTGAATCTCTTCGATAAGCGATCCCCTGTAGTCAGCTCAACTCTTTGCTTGTCAATTCTCGCACTGCGCATACTCGCATTTGTTCCCAGCCCCATGATGATAAGCGTTGAGCCTGGGCTCAAGTCAAATTCGTCAGTTTGATATTGCTGAAATGCACACATTTGGCACTTTAAAAAATCCAACTGAAAAATAAAAGACTTGCATCGTCTCTATGTCGGCTAGTCACAGCGACAGCCTTTCCATTGCTGTCAATGATTATGCCGAAGACGTCATTTTCAAATTGGTTTGGTCCCATATCAGCTGAAAATTATCAGCTGAAAATAGCATATTTGCGGATTGCAACCGAAATTTGTGAGCTCACAATTCCATTCAACTTTCAGGCTGATACGACAAAGTCCTTCTCCCTCAAATACGTGTTTGACGACTCGTAGCGGACTAGTAAAAAGCACTCCACGAAACTTCTGGAATTAGCCATTCATTCATTGTCAGCCACAGATGTCATGTCGAAGAATGTAGCAAAGATTTTGTCATCTGTTATATGTGCGCAGAATTTGTGTGAAAAGGCAGACCAATGGTGAAATAAGAAGAATCCTTTTGATGAAAAAATTACGCCAATGTAGTAAAATTTTCCAAAATGATTTTTGCGTCTAACTATTTTACATGACATAATGGTAGAGATACACAAGTTCAAATATTGAATGTTTAGTGTGCACTCAATAACGCATTTGAACTCACAGGCCTTAGTTGTAATCCTTCGTCCTCCGCCACACCTCCTTTAGTCCATCGCTCTTCTTTACTGGCTTGGTCGAATTCTGTGTTGGAGGCCTCTGCAAAACAACAAAAGTAGAGTCGCTTCAGAACGTAAGATGCGTTTGCGTTACTCAGACAATCGACCGGACCCCTCCGCCGGACAGTCCGAATCTGCCAGAGTCGCGCCGGACCCAGTTGACCAATGAGAGAGGGGCAAATGGGCGGTCCGTCGCGGTGACATCACTGGCAGGCAAGTGGGAGGCTTCTCCGGCCCTGCTGCAAAGGTACGCCATTTCTCCGGCGCGGCTCTGCCAGATTTGGCAGAGCCGCGCCGCAGAAAATGGGAGGGGTCCGGAGCAGAAAATGGGAGGTACCCGGAGCAGAAAATGGGAGGTCTCCGGAGCAGAAAATGGGAGGTCTCCGGAGCAGAAAATGGGAGGGAGGTATCCGGAGCAGAAAATGGGAGGGAGGTATCCGGAGCAGAAAATGGGAGGTATCCGGAGCAGAAAATGGGAGGTATCCGGAGCAGAAAATGGGAGGTCTCCGGAGCAGAAAATGGGAGGTATCCGGAGTAGAAAATGGGAGGTATCCGGAGCAGAAATGGGAGGTATCCGGAGCAGAAAATGGGAGGTATCCGGAGCAGAAAATGGGAGGTATCCGGAGCAGAAAATGGGAGGTATCCGGAGCAGAAATGAGAGGTATCCGGAGCAGAAAATGGGAGGTCTCCGGAGCAGATAATGGGAGGCCTCCGGAGCAGAAAATGGGAGGTATCCGGAGCAGAAAATGGGAGGGCTCCGGCGGACAAATGGGAGACCCACCGCTGGGGAAACGCCGCGACCCTGCCATTTCTCCGGCAGAAGGGTCCTATCCGTTGCCTGAGTAGCTTCGCTTGCTATCTCAAATCAGTTTAAAACTCACGCTGCAGCTGTAGCAACCTGGATAACGTTTCGTGCTTGGTAGATTCCACCACTTCAACGAACTAAAAATTATGAAGTAATTGAAGAAGAGATCAACTTAGTCGAGATAGGAGTTTTTTTTAATTTCTTTGTATACTGATCAGATATTTGATTACTTATGGCATAATTTATCAAATAACTTAATTGCAAATGGACTACATTGATCGAACTTTACTCAAGACCTTTCAAGCAATCTTGAAACACTTTCAGACGACAGTTTTTTTTTGTTTGCTTACAACAACGTGCCTTTAAATGGGCAAAAATAGCGTAATCTAATCGCGATTACTACTTTCTGAACCAAAATGGTTATTCTCGTCCTTGAGGTAACATAAGCGGCTTGCCACAAATAAGCACTATGGCAGGTCAACATCAGCTGTGTGCGATTATGTCTCATAAAAAGAAAAATTTTCGTGTCCGTCAATATATTTTCAAGGATTCTGACACCAAAAACTAAGTGCAAAATTGTATTTGTAATATTTTGACATCCGTCCAACTGTATTTCTACCCCACTGGCATCGCAGAACTTCTAAAAGAAAAGTAGCTTCAAACCAAAGGGAAAAGTAGCTTCAAATCTCAATTTTCAAATCATAAATGGATTTGCAACAAAGAGCTTACTTTTTCCAAATCAAGATAACCATCCTTGATATAAGGTTCTAAGCATAACCTGATATCTTCTTTTCTGTTTGCAGCCTGAAGTGGAAGAAGCATGAAAATTGTCAGTAATCACCACATACGCTAGAAAGTATAATACCTCAGGAAGTGCTTACCACTTGATCCAGTATCTGTTCCACATTCAGGCGAACATCCTGTGTGCGAATTCGTTTGATATCATCTTCATCTACTACCAAATCTTCCAGTCGTTCGAAAATGCGGAAGGCGTGATCATAATCAATTTCACCTGTAAGAACTACTGCAACATTCTATTATAGAGTTCTGATTGATAACGAGTCTTCTCACTTTCAGATCTATCAAATACGCTAAATCATCACGTAATCACAAAATATTTTGTCTGCGTTTTTTGACTCCTGAATCTAGCAAGATTTACATACATGTCGAAGTTAAAGGCAGTGGAACAACAGAATAGACCCTTCTCAAATTCTGATGGATTTAGGTAGCAGGTCCCCCAAGTACACTGTAGCCCAAACCCTACCTGCCAATTCATGCGCTAAGTCCTAAAAAATGCGCCTCAAAACTCCACCAGCCCCGCCCCTTTCGATTGAGTGGGCGGGGCTGGTGGAGTTTTGAGGCGCATTTTTTAGGACTTAGCGCATGAATTGGCAGGTGGAGTTTGGGCTACAATGTACTTGGCGGGTCTACTACCTAAATCCACCAAAATGCGAGAAGAATTCATTCTGCTGATCCACTGCCTTTGAGTATACGTTCTCAACCGTAACTGCAAACAAAGAAAATAAAAAGGGTATTCAGTATACACCATCTTGTCAGTCACGCTCAAAGCACTGATACCGCCTTCGATAAACTTGCAATTTGGTCCCTTTGCCAGTTTCTAAGCAAGCTTTTCCGCGAAAGTATCGAATTATTCAGAAAAGAGATGATGTATTGTGCTTCTGGGTGTTTTTGATAGACGCAGATTTATCCTTGTGGCTTACTTCGGAGATTTGCTTTGCTAATTTATTCGCAACTCTTTCTGCTCCTGAAAAATCAGTTTAGATTGCAGCAATAGGCTCGGGGCAAAGAATCTTCGTTCATTACAATATAAATCAATATAATTGATCCATTTAGTGCGATTCCTGAAGCAAAATACACGTATAAATTACGGAGATTCCTCAGGTGTTTGTGCTACTAAATTGTGCATGAATTTGATTCGCCAACAAAACCTATCTTTATTCTTCTACTTGGGTTTGATTAGTACAAAGCAAATTCATAAACAGCATCACTTTCTTAACCTTGACAAATTTCTCAACCAAGGGTGTTTGAATTCCGAACGAAGAAAAGTGAAAAGCGGCAAGATAAAAAATTGAGCAAGTGATAATAGAGAAAGAGTACAAAGCGAATTTTGTAGTCAGCAGTAGAGCAAAAAAGTGCTAAAAACTCTTTGATGGAAAGACATTTCCTAGTTTATTAGTAAGCGCGCAGCACTGAATAAACAAAGAAGAATTAACATTTCTAAATAAAAGTTGAAGAAAAACAGTTTCGGAGCTAAAATAAGCATCGCATAAAGAGTTGTGATATGCGAAGAGCGAAGTTCATATTTGTAAAGTCTCTTGAAAAAACTCACTTTTATCGCTAGGCCAAAGATTATCTAAGTGAGACCTAATCACTGATTTTCCAGCGCAACAAACAGCTTTGTACAAAGTGTTCCTGTCGACTGTAGCACTTGGCCCAGCAATGGTTTGGCATATTTGCCGGAACTCGTCGCTTCTCAGAGACATCAGAATAGATTCAGTTGATTTTTTGGGATAATGCGTCTGCGTCAAATGCACGTAAAGTTACCATGGTTACGCATACCCTACATCGCCGGAGCGAAGGGGTAAATAAATAACATTGTTTGACTCCAGAAAATGTTACCAAACAAAGTGCAATTTTGTATCAAAAAGAGTAACAATGTTACAGTCAATCTACATTGGATTTTATGCTTCCAGAAGGTAATTCTGCGAGTTTGCTTAAATTGCAAAGTACTCTCTATCAGAGCTTTGATAAGCTCAAAAAATGAAAATCAAAATGACCAAGTTCATCGACTGGATGGCTAAGTATAATAGAATAGCGAAGCTTGTAAAAAGATTCTTGCACATCAAGCGCAATAAGATATTCTGCAACCGAAAATTGGAAAAATCCAAGAATTTTTTTCGCTTCAAAACTCTGAAACAGTTATAGTTTGCCAGGAAGACGAATTTCCTTGGAGTGGGTCAAAAAAGGCTGCGCGAAAAGTGGAGTGTCGGAAATTTCCAGATTCGTAACGATTCCCTGCAAAATTATATTAATTTGTCAGACAACTAAGAAAGAAGAAATACTTGGTCAAAATTTCATTTCCATAGGAATTGAAATTCTCTTATAGAGCATGAAATGCTAATTCGAAATGACCTAATAAGGGAACTTTTTGAAGCAAAAATTCCAGCGCGCATCTACATAAATTCATTCAGAACTGTAGTCTTTGAGAGTTCAAGTGGGGAATGAATGTCGTGAGGGCACTTCATGCAGTTGATACCTTTAGTCCAGTGAACTAATACTAATCACTACTCAATTCAAGCGCCGTAAGGGCCTCAACATTTGTTTTGACCTTAGCCAAGAATTCAAATTTTTGCCTCAAATTCTCATAACTCGCCTCCCGAAAGATCCGCAGATACGAAAGCAGATTTGGAATCAGCATTCCATGCTTCTCGAGAAAATATATATACATCTCATAGGGAACTTCACTTCGATCAAGTATTCCATTCTTGCAAGAGCGCGGAAAACGTCATTGAAGTCCAAAATTGCTTTATGACGACATGACGATGTGCTCTTTGCGCACTTTCTAAGCGTAGTTTCTATCTCATTGAGCTCCATGCCATGGAAGAAGCTGATGGAATTTCGATGCGTTATTTTGCCAAGGTACTCTTCCTAATTCCTTTCCTTATTCACAATTGTTCTAATAGGGTTGAATTTAGCATCCAAAACAGGACACGGTACAGGCAGCTCACCAAGCAAGCTGGATATCGTTTTGGGGAGAAAAAGCAAAAGGGACTCCGTTTTTGAAGAATACCGTCTTTCGATATGAAAGAGCATGTCCCTCCCCCCCCGACTCCGTTTTTGAAGAATACCGTCTTTCGATATGAAGGAGCATGTCCCCCCCCCCCCCCCCAAACAAACAAAGTGCTTGTTTACAACGAAATGAAAATGAAATGACACATTGGTGTGTAAATGGGCAATGAGGTGCTAGGACTATGCATGAAAATCATGGAAAAATTATGTAAACTGAAGGCGTGCTTAACTTTTTTCGGACTTACGTGGCTTTCAAGCCATTTGGGATGTAGGTAAGATTCATGTAAAGAGTTTAGAAACAGGTGGTTTGAGGAAGAAAAAGTCACAAATTTTCCCCCTCACATAATTTTTTGAAATTTTTTACATAAATCTCATCTACATTCTAAACCCTACAAATTTTCTCCTGAACCGTCTCGAACCCCTCCTCTCCGCTTAGTTTTAGCCCCTTGAAAATTTTGAATGGCGGCAGCAACGCTGCTTTAGGCGCATAGTGCTGCGCGCGGATACATTATACCGCCAGTCCGTGGAATATGAATACCATCGCGTTTGCTTATCCTCCCCACGGATCTCCCTCATAGACCACGGATCTCCCTCATAGAGGGATCACAGCCGGTTAGTCGCGAGGCTACGTGGGGCGTCCCCAGGTGGCGGATAAGGGGATAATCGCCGACCAAAAGCGACCCCGCGCCTGCTCTGATAAGCAAGCGGAGCCGGGGGACGGACTCCCTGCCTCCACTAAAAGCTTGCGCCCTAATTTCCCGGGTAGGTGTGTGGGGAGGCGAGTTCGGAGTCGCCTCCAACAAATAAGCTCCGATCGTCCCTCGCGGGGGTTTTGAGCCCAACAAGCTATCCCTGCGAGTAAATTCTTGTTCGACACAGTGATAATATGGAAAGCTCCTTTAATCTTGGAAGAGCCACTGGTAAGGCAGCGCCAGTGGGGACAAGGTTTGAAAGGCGATCTAGGCTGCCGAAAACGAGACGGACTATGATGACGATCTGTACTTACAACGCGAGGACGCTGGCATCGGACGCATCTATCGAAGACCTCATGATGCAAGCAAGGAAGATTAAGTACGACGTCATCGGACTGACCGAGACAAGGAGGCACCACCCGCTGAACGTCACATTTGAGACTGGAGAAAAACTGTTTCTAGGAACATGCGACAGTCGAGGAGTAGGTGGAGTGGAAGTCCTTGTCAACACGAGTTTGGCCATGAACATCAATTCGTTCGAACAACTTACAACTCGAATCGGACGTTTGCGAATATCAAGATGTGGATCAATCCTTGCCTTGACCGTCTTCATTGCGTACGCCCCAACATCCAGCTACGACGAGGACGAACTCGAGGAATTTTATATGGACTTGGAGAAGTTCTACAGAGAAGATCATACCTTCTACAAGATCATCGTCGGTGATTTCAACGCGAAGGTCGGAATTAGAAGGTCGACTGAGGAACTTCACATCGGAATCCATGGTTTGCAGTGGAACGAACAAGGGGAGAGACTGTCCGAGTTTATCATGACGACGAGGACTATCCATGGAAACTCACAGTTCCAAAAGCCCTCTTCCCTACGCTGGACCTGGGAATCGCCCGGTGGAGAGTACCATAACGAGATTGACCACATCATCGTCAACAGAAGGTACTGCCTGACGGACGTCGCTGTTGTTCCGAAGTTCTACACGGGATCAGACCATCGTCTCCTGCGCGCCAAATTCTACTTTCCGCGGAATGGAGAGAGAGCCGTCAAGTTCAGGAAACATTGTCCCATGAATACCACCAACTGGGATCTGTTTTCTTCGATATCCGGCTCATGGCGAGATACCGTGATGGACAACATCGACGAAGAATACGAACGGTTCGTACAACATCTCCACGGTTGTGCCAAGGAAGCTCAGAGTCTAAGAAGTACGAGAAGGCGTCTCACCACGGGGACTTTGGAGCTGATACGCCAACGTGGACGCGCACGAGCCACAGGCAACTACCGACTGACGTCCGAGCTTGCGAAGCGATGCAGAGAAGCGATAAAAGAAGACCTTAAGGAGAGAAGAGTAGCAGTGATGGTTGACGCCGCGGAGGCTGGAAGAAGTATACGCAACGCCCGCCAAAGCTTCGTCAACTTTAAGACAAAGATGACCGCAATTCGTCGTCCTGACGGAACCATAAGTGCTTCCCGAAGATCAATGGAGAAGGTCATCCACGACTTCTACTCGGATCTTTTTGCGAGCCACGTCCACCTTCCACCATGCTATCTCAAGGAGGACGAGTATGTCGCACCGTCTGTTCTTCCTTCCGAGATTCGTCATGCTATCATGTCAATGAAAAACCGTACAGCACCCGGTCCCGACAGGATTAAGCCAGAACATCTGAAGAATCTTTCGCCAGTTCTCATCAAGACTTTGGCAAGGCTCTTCACGCGGTACCTGACGGAAGGCAAGGTTCCAAGGCAATGGAAGACCAGCGAAACCGTGTTGCTGTACAAGAAGGGAGATCCCTGCGACATCGGCAATTATCGCCCTATCTGCTTGTTGTCTGTAGTCTACAAACTCTTTACGCGAGTCATTCTCAACAGGATCGGAAGAGAGTTGGACGAAGGACAACCATGCGAGCAAGCTGGGTTTCGAAGAGGATTCAGCACGATCGACCACATACACACGGTATCAAGGCTCATTGAAGTGTCACGAGAGTATAAGATGCCGCTCTGTCTCACCTTCATCGACTTGAAGAAGGCCTTTGACTCGGTTGAGACTGAAGCCGTCATCGATGCCTTGAGCAATCAAGGTATTCCGACTCATTACATCAAGATAATTCGTGAGCTGTATAACGACTTCACAACCATCATAACACCATTCTACAAGGACATCATCATTGACGTGAAGAGAGGCGTGCGACAAGGCGATACTATATCGCCGAAACTATTCAGTGCCGCTCTGGAGAACGTCATGCATAAGTTGGAATGGGACAACATGGGAGTGAAAGTCGACGGCCGGCAGCTACACCACCTTCGCTTTGCTGATGACATCGTATTGATAACACCAAGCATCACGCAGGCGGAACAAATGCTGGCCCAGTTTGACGAAGTGTGTGGAAAGATCGGTCTACGGCTGAATCTAACGAAGACGATGTTCATGAGGAACGGAAGAGTGCCTGATGCTCCTTTCATGCTCAACGGGACGAGCATCACGAATGCTCAAGCCACCTACCTAGGTCGTGCACTTAATATGATGAACGATCTAGTTCCGGAGCTGTGCACGAGGAAGCACGTGCGTCATTGGAAGATATAAGACAATCAAGGACATAGTGAAGAAGACCAAAAACATCCGGTTGCGCGTCCACCTCTTCAACTCGACGGTTTTTCCTGCTGACTTACGCTTCAGAAACATGGACGATGAGGAAGCAAGATGAATACGCGGTTAGCGTCATCAAACTTGCTGTTGAGATAGTGATGCTAGGAGTGAATCGACTCACGCAAGTGAGGCAAGGATTACGAAGTTCTACCCTACGTCAACGATCGAAGATCAGGGACGCTGCCGCGTACGCCAAGCAGAACAAGATAAGATGGGCCGGCCACGTAATGCGTTTCGACGACAACCGATGGACGAGAGCTGTAACAGATTGGATACCACTGGACGTCAAACGCGAACGAGGAAGACCGCCGACGCGATGGTCAGATATGTTCACGAAGTCCTTTAATG